TCGCTAAGTGGGCTCACTTTCTTACAACACGATATCAAACAGTCACAATGTCCTTACGCGATCTTCCTCCCTACAACTTTTTCCAAGACGGGCACCCCAGCAACGAGGTTTGTCAACATTAGCCCTAAATTCTCTCAACCCACTTCGGGATGCTATTTCCGAAAAAAGTCGCGACCACTATAAATACAACGCTGGGAAAGGACAAAAAACCATACAGAAAAGCCGTTAAAGCAGTCTATCTCAACGATATCACTACCAAAGTGTAACAGGAAAAATCCAAGGGGATGAAGAATATTTCTAAAAGGTCTGCAGAAATTATGTCACCCATACTTTACTTTTGTAGGACGGAATTGACAAAGAACGAACCTCGCATATGAATCCATGCGTGACCAGATCCTGCGTGAGAGCGTTTGGATCCTCGTCGTGTGAGAATTCCGTGGTAAGCTGTCGATTCATCATGTCTTCCAATTGCAACCATATCGTCAGCTCACTAAATTCATTCAATGATCCCAAAACAAACTTTACAATATTCCATCCAAAGCGACCAACTTTCGTTCTGTCGTCACACGCATTTGTCGAATCGCTCTTGTTTCACGGTGCTGAACAGGCTCATCAGTGGCAGGAGGTGATGAAGCTACAGGATCTGTTGTTTCAGGTGCTCGTGGTACCGATGTCGGTGCGAGCGAAGATGTTGACGGCTCATGACCTTCGGCTGCTGTCTGAGCTTGGGGTGTACGCGCTTGCTGAGTGACCTATAAGTAAGAGCAAAAATGAACGACTATATCTAAAAAGAAAAATCGTAAAAGAGTACTGGCAATTCCCTTATTGAGAGTTCAATGCTTCGACTTGCCAACACCCACCGAATAAGCTATATGTAGAAAACTTTATAGCTAATCCGAATTCGGCATATTATCTATAGAAAATACAAGGACTTTCCCCAACAATAACCATTTTCAACTCACTCCCATTCCCCTCTTCACCTTTTGTAGCTAATCCGAATCCGGCATATCATCTTTCACGGACAAGGTGGACCCTCACAGTAAAGCGTAACTCTGCCCGATATAAAATGTTTGTGTTAAACCTATAAACCTGCTTACCGTAGTTTTCAGGGGCTTGTGAGCTAAGGGAGCAAAAGCAGTGAGCGGATAAATTCCGTTTCGCACATCTTCGACAATTTTCTCAAGATCATGCTGGAACGCAGGAACTTGACAATAGGCCATTTCACGTACACCTGTCTCCCTACGTGCAACAGCGGCAACCTGAACAGGAAAAAACTAGCAAAAAAGTCACGTGCCTCCCAAGCTTGTACGATGGAAACATTCTCAAGAACATTGAATTATACCTTCTCGATGTCTGGAACTCTGAAGGCGTCAGTAGGCAAATCATCGAACATCTTGGAATCCACGATTTTGTGAGCGCTCAGTAGCTTCAGAGAGTGCACCTAAGTTAAAGAGTTAAAGTTAAATCGAAGTGGACAGATCTCAATTACAAATAAGGATATTAATCATTTCGTCAAAACTTGGCCATTCAAACTCACGAAAAATCCTGCGCCTAACAATTTTTCATGAACTCGAAGACATTCATAGATTCA